AAAAACCCTAGCCATATTAAATTACTATATTACCCTCAATTTTTGGAATACAGTTCGTGGGGCAAAATAGTCAATAAACAATGCCCTTCGAGTAGTTGGGCTGACTGCCAATTGCTCTTGTGGGCTGATCACTGGAGTAGTGGGTTGAAATAATATTCTTTTTAAAAGAATGCTTTTGTAAATAATTAATATATATAATATGGTAATTTAAATAATAAAAAATATAGTTAAGTGATTATATTTAAAGTACATTAAAATTAAAAATCTAATTTTGTATGATAAAATCACGGTAAAGAAAGTCACAAGCTATGGTAAATTTAATTTTATTAAAATTTTCTTGTAAATTTATTATGCTATGAGCATGTGTTAGAAAATATATTTATTTTATCATATAAGTAAATTAAATAACTACATGAAAATAAAATGTCAATAAGTAATTGCAATAATTAAAAACTAATAACTAAATTAAAAATTATTTTTTTTTTAATTAAACTCGGTATATAATCATTGTCATATGATTAAAATTCTATCTTTTTTATACAAACACAATAATCTAAAATGAAAAAACGATTAAATATTATATATTTTAAGATAGAAGATTCGATGAAATACTCTCTAATGATGTTCGAAATTTCCTTAGAAGATTGCTGTTAGTAAGATGGTTTAATAAGTCGACTAAAAGTTTGATTTATCAAATAGTCTGCGTACCGATTTTTTTCTAGATAGATATATTATTTTTTAACAGTTTAATCTTTTACGAGTAAAATCTTGATAAAGTCCTATTTTATTCATTTAATTTTCTTCTTTTCATTTTTTTTATGTTAATATAAAAACTGCACATAATATTAAATTTTATGAATAAATTACATTTTAAGCTGCACATATCACGTAGAATCCACTTTCTTTTTCAAAATTGTAGAGAAAATATCTTTTTTTTCGTAAATTATTTTACATTTTTACAAAAATTTACCAAAAAAAGTTGAAAGTATAAAAATTACATGATCAGTAAATAATGTGCCCGAAAATTTATACAATTTTGTATATTTTTGTACCATTCCACTATTTCACAAGGAAAGTGCATATCGAAGCAATATACCCGGAATCTAATTCTTCATCCATCCAAAAGCTTCAATCCCATAAATTCTCATGAAAACTTGCCAATTCGATGCTCAACTTGTTTAAAGTTCCATTTTTTCTTCCAAAAAAACTGATAATCACAGTGCAAAAACACATTCCCAGTTGGTACATCTTGGTTTGGAGGATCTGAAGACAGTGATTTCAATGTTGGGTTCACTGGGTTTATACGCTTCGCTGAGTACGCACAATAGTTCTGTAAAGTTCAAATCTTCTGCTGAAAGAGACCGACTATGTTGGGGAATGAAGTTCTCAAAGGCAAACCCACCAAGAACTCTGCAGTGCAAGCGTGAGTTAGTTGATTTTGAAGAGAGAAATAGCCCAAATGAGGTAATCCCTGTTTCCAATCCCATTTTTAGCTCCTTTTATTTGATTATTTTAGGGGTTTTGGTTGCTTTCTTCTACTGCCCTATGTTTGATTGATGCTTCAAGTGTAAATTACAGTACGAGACAGGTCAAGCCTTGTGGAATGACCCATCTATAACGTGCTTGTTACTTATCAATGCTGCTTTGCCCTAAATCAAATGAAAACTTCAGTTCTTAGCATGTAAAGTTTGTGACATGATTGGTTTTGAAATTTTGGGAGTTTATCCATCGTTTGGACTTAAAAAGATCCATTCATTGATAAGAAAAAGAGAATTGTGAGCAGTGATTGGATTGATGGGATTTGGTATCGTAGTTATGAGATTGATGATATTGATCAAATTGATATTCAAATATTGCTTCTTAGTATGTATTAACTTGACCCGTTAAGCGGGATCACTACCCCATAGCATGTTGGCTCTATTTTATTATAATTATATTCCATCCATACTCCAATTATATTCATTTAATATCTATTTGGTCTTGTTGGCATAAGAGATATGTTCTTAGTCTATCTCTTTCTATTTCTATATGTGGAAAGTTAAAAAATCATCACATCTAATTTACAAGATTAAAGTATATATATGTATGTGTTGTTTTGCCACAGAGCTCCAAGTGAACATAAATGTAACTGGAGTTTCCGTTTTTTTCCCTTGTTTTCTTTTGTTTCTTTGCCGAATTTCTGATATGCGATTACAATCCGCAGTGTCTTAGTCCTGTCTTCGCTATAGGTAGGCAAGGAGGTTGCTAGTTTAGCCTAGCACTTTAATCATATAATACATGTAAGCTTCAAATTACTTTTTCGTTGCTTCCTAATTGGATGGTTCTATTTCTCTTCCTTTAGCTTGTGCTAAGAAATGCCAAACACTTCGCAAACTTTTCTGTCCTGTCTCTGATCTTGTTTTGTTGTGTGATGTCCAAGTTGGGTTGTCTTTCATTCTTTATTGACTCTCCTTATTGAATTCATAAGCTGAAAGACTGCTAGTTCTCTCTTTTGATTCTATTCCTGTTGGCTCTTACTGTTGTCTAGAACCTAATCATTTTGTCCAGTCATCTTTGCTTAATCAACTTTTGTTAGTGCAAATTATTTTCCTGAGTAGCACTGGCATTTAATTTACCTTCGACGCTATCTTATACTGTTTCTGGTACTGACCCTTTATTATTGGAGTGATTGGTGAAGTGCCTTGTGGTTTTGCTCAGTATGTTAGAGTTTATTTCTCAATTTGATTTTCTTGTTTGAAAGGTCAGAAAAGAAATTGCACGATGTTATGAACTCATACAAAGACTTGGGAGGGGAGCTGTGTATTTAGGTTCTTCAAGGATGGGACCCAATACTTCACATTACTTGCAAGCGCGGGAGTTGTCTCGAGAGGCAAGTAAATTCATTCCATTCTTTCAGTTTTAGAAAATCATTTGCAGAGAAGGGAGTCCTTATTAGTTAATATTTCTTACTCAGCAGGTTGCAGAACTTTTAGATTGTACCACATGGACAGGGGCTGGACCGGGGCTAATGGATGCCACGATTAAAGGTGCTCTTCTAGCAGGAAAGAAAGTTGGTGGATTCAAGATAGGAAGAGAAGCTGGTGAATGGACGGCCTCGAATTTTCATCCATACCTGCCTTCTGAAACTTATCTCACATGCAGGTAAAATTAGTCACTACTAAAATTAGAATAACATGGTTGTTCTGGGTATGGAACTTCAAGGATTGACTTCATATCAAAAATAGGTTTTTCTCTGCAAGAAAACATGGTTTGGTGGATGCTGCAGTTCGTAATAGTAATTCTGACAAGACTGCTGTGATTGCTCTTCCTGGTGGTATTGGTACTCTAGACGAGATGTTTGAGATCTTAGCATTGATTCAGCTCGAAAGGATTGGATCTGACCTGCCTGTTCCCTTCCTGGTGATGAACTATGACTCATTTTATTGTAAGCTATTAGACTTTCTGGATGATTGTGAGGACTGGGGTACCATCTCCAAAGGGGAGATTGCTTCGCTGTGGAACATCTGCAACAACAACGATGAAGCTCTGGCATATTTGGCCAAATTCTACGATCTTCCATATGGTGACAAAGTCACACACGAAAGTAACACGAGAAGTGCACATTGAACATGTTTCTAAGTTCGTTCCGGGATCATTTTCTTGAGTGATTTCTTTAAGATTTCAACTCAATCAGTCTTATTTTTCAGTTTCTTATGTGCCGTGGAGATTTAGATCACAGACGGAGCTTGTTAGTCTCATTTGTATTTGTTCTTGCTGATCTCCTATCACCAACAAGAATACGAGACAGGTCCATGGATGGTCCCTGCGGGGCAAGAGTACGCCCAATACTCAATAGGCATTAGACAAGAACTTCTATTGATGTACCTATTTTGATTCATAATAACATTTCTTGTTATTCAGAGTATTCTTACAAATAACATTTAACATAATCAGTAAATGTCAAACTGAGTTCCAAATCAAAAGAACAGATTCATAATCTAAAATCAAGCAACACTTTCACATAATCCTGCACTGTGGTTCCCCGATATTGAAGTCTGCTGGTGGTGGTGGTGGTGACTGGGGAAAATACTGACCGGAGGGCGTATAGTACGGACAAGATGGATAGGGGGACGGGAAATTTGAAGGCGCATAGTAAGGGCAGGATGGATAGGTTGATGAGCAGGTACACGAGTGGGAGATGGGAGGTGGGCAATGAGAGTAGCAGTAGGGTGGTTGTAGTACAGGTTGCAGAGGCAGATGATGAGGATGATAGGGTGGAGAGATGGCAGATTGATAGTGTTGAGGAGATTGATAGCTTGAAATTTCTGATGGGTTGTAGCCATACTTTACTTTTAGGAGCTGAACATGTTTGCCAGCATCTTTGATCCTGAGGATGATACATGGGTCTGTTTCCCCAGAAACATAAGCTATTGCTCTAGATGCATCAATGGTGCAGGAGACATCTGAGAATTGTTTTGCCAAGAAACAAAAATTGATTAGTATTACCACAAATTATCAGATTGAAAATTTTCCAAAGATGAGACATTTATTGGAAAAAAAGAATGAACCTCTGATGCCTTCTAAAACTTCACTCAACGAGCTCTCCCATCCTTCAGCACGAACGTTAAGTCTTAAAATACAAGACTGAAGAATAATTTACAAAAAAAAAAAAAAGCAGAAACAAAGTAAAACCCACCAGATAAAGTTAACTACCCAGATAAAAAGAAGTAAAATTACTATAGGTATACAAGGAAAAATATGTATTAAAATAGGAGATGAATGGGTCAATTAAGCTAACCATGTAGGGAGGAGATCCAGACTCCATTGAGAAGCTCTTTTTCCTCTGTTCTAGAGGGCTGTGAATGGGAGATAAAGAGAAAATTTAAAGATGAACAAACACAAATTTACTATTTGGGTTTTACATTAAATCAGAAAACGTATATGTCACTAGTGGCATTTATTAAAAAGAATGCCAGATTAGTCATTTTATTATTTTTTTTACTGTAATATTATTTTCTTCATATTTTATTCGGAAAATTTTTATTTTGGAGATTTGATAGCAAACTTACCATAGCAAGTTCAGAAGATCTAATCATCATTATTACTAGTATTGAAAATATTAGGAATAATACATTTATTCATTTAAATACAACAAAAAAGTATAGGGTATACATATCCCCACAATTACTCGTATGATTGTTTTGGTTTATATATATATGTATGCACATATATATATATATATAGCAGTCAGAGTGATACGGAGATTAAATTTATTTCTTGTCCAAGACAGACAAACCCATCTTAAAACTAGGAGATTCACAGACAAAAACTTTTATGATTTCATTCTAGAACAAATCAAATACTGAACATAAAATTATAGATCAATACTTAACAGTAAATTGATTACTTAGAAATAAATTATCTATGTTTACCAACGGTAATATCAAAAAATTTATAAAATAAGTAGCTAATACTCTCTTGTAACAACTTTTCAGAGATGAGAGAAAACTAGGTTACTTAACATTAAATGGTCTCAAGGAAGTAAGTGTTTGTAAGACCCTTAAATAATCTTTAAAAACCCAGGAATCCCAAGTTTTTGAACTGAAAGCATCAACTAAACACAATTTCAACGTTATAAGTGCGCTAATAAAAACTAAAAATCAAGTCATTCCGATGCTGTGACAACTCAGTAAATATTAGTGAACCATAAGAATAAGCTGCAACTGGAAAGTTTCAATGACAGCCATCCAGAATAAGAATCCATCCCGTAGCTTAGATTGCAAGAAGCCTCAACATCTAAACTAACAATTTACACAGTAAAGAAAACGGAGCATTCCCGTAATTCTAAAACATAATTTTACCACGCTCAATGTTTCTTTGTAATAAGCTGTGGAAACTTGCCCATGTTAGGTTTCGTTATGGACTTGCAGAAAGAAGAAAAGGCCCCTTTCAGCTCGTCTGGGAGAGGCAGGGAGAGTGGCAGTGCTACAGGAAAAGGCCTCTGGTGATGCTCAGTTTTGTTCCTCGAATAAAATGAATGTGCCAGAGCTGGTTGATTGTTGTTAAGCCTCGTCCCAACAAATGAGAATGCTCCAAATATGAGACAGCTCCTTAGAAGATCAGGTGGGGCTCCTGCAGCATAAAATATTACGCACAAGCAAGGTTCAATGCCATGGCCACATGGCTTAAAAGTTGAAAACCAGTTATCAAACTATCTAAATGCAATGACAATTCAACAATGTTACTGCAGAAAAAGCTAGTACACGCAGAAGAAAATTGAAAGAAAAAAGGAGCAGAAATCGAGGGCATAAAAGATAGATGAAAACAGAAATTGACCAAAATGAACTCACACCTGGAAAACTTATGGCCAAACCAGTGCAACATCCAGCTACTCCAGCATTAATGCCTGTCCAAGAAGAAAACCATGATTAAGACATTGATTATAAGAATCATGAGAACAAGGCAAGATATATGGTTAACAAGCAGCCATACTATCATCCTTTCCCCGCAGCCTCTTCAACAAGCACATAACCAAGCTGTGTACTCCAGACAAAACTGCGAAAGTCTAGTAGCAATAGCAATTATAAACATAAGCTTATCTCAAAACCATTAAGGCCAAGAATATGTAATTTAGAGGAAGTTCCAGTATTTGAGCACTTAATCCAAGTATCTTAGACTTTAGAGTATAGATACCTTGGCAGAAGATCCTGCCTCACTGAAGGATCCTTTAAAGCCTTTCTTCTTAATCAGCAACCCTTGGCCTGAAAACAAGTTTTGAGAAATTCATGTCACCATACTTAAAAAAAATTGATTCTAACAGACAACTATATGTTCAGGACCGAAATATTGTTGTGCAGTTCAAAACCAGGGCGGTCCCACAATATAAATAACTTATTTCTTTCATCCAAAAGGACAAACCTTAGGAATAAAGCAATTACAGAACCACAAGTACCAGTTTAGTCCTGAGTGCAATATAACAGTTCTCTACCTGGATCAGTCATAAAAACCATCTCTTCACTAATCAACCAGTGAATTCTACAAAAATATGACCTTAATTGGACAATAAAGGAAAAAACTCCTATTTCTGCATTAAAACTAGAAGCTACTTAGCAAAAACTCAAAAACATTCTTTTTCTTTTAACTTCTAAGGCAAAGTGCTAGTTTATGCATCATTTTCCCCTCATCAATAACCTCAACATTACAACTTAACCACAATCGCATCTATACTTCTTACTCACAGTTACTAAAGAACTTCCTTCAGAACTTGGATTAAGCATGCTAGCTACTCAGTGACACCATCTTTACATCCATGCATCAGTCTAACTCTAACAAGCACTTGATGAACTCCTCAAATTAAAAAGTCGAAAGAATATACTCCATAAAGGTAGCAGCTAGAAGTGAGGGATTTACATAAAGGGGAAAAAGGAACATCCTATGATAATCACTACTTTTACTTCAGTTATGTACAAGATAATTTTTCTTCTTTGAGCCAGAAACTAAAAAATATGCTGCATGGCACCAATAAAAACTCTTTTTACTCCAAACTTTCCAAGACTTCACGCTTCTCATTTCAAAGAATAAATCAGTATCTACAAAGAAGCAGAAAACCGCATTTTTCGCACTCTCATTTCCGGGCAACAGGCATTACCTATAACAACATCAGTAATCTTACAAATGCGCTAAGCATTAAATGCATATATAAAGTCTATTTGTGCATGAAATCTTCACTTTTTCACAACCGTCAAATAAATCACTGATTTCATATTTATATAATCATTTCAAGCTCAATCCATGACAGTATACCAGTGAGCTCTCAGTCTCAGCATTAAGAACAGCAGTAACCATCTAATCAAACTAAAAAAGAAGGAAAATTTCTACCTTGTAGCAACTATGGTTCCTAATCACAACAGAGAAAAAGTTGACTTCAAAATCATTCAATTCTAATACCAGACCACACAAATCGGACCCAAATTCCCCTCTAGCAAACAAAATAAAACATTGAAAAGCCAAGCGGTTTTCTAAATTTTGTAGAACCACTACCAACTAAGCAATCATTACCATTACCGTCACTGCATCATCCTGCAAAACCAGCTCAACAACTGACATATAATTCGAAAATTAAACTGACAAATGAAATGACATCTAACTGTTCTACAAGGAAAATACAAAAAAGGAAAAAAGAAGACAGAGACCATATCCGAAGATGGAGCCCATGAATGCACCGGCGAAGGAATCGGCGGCGACATTGAGGAAACAGACGGCAGGAGAACCGGAGTGAGTGGGGATTAATGCGTCGGAAGAATTAGGGGTTGGGTTGGAGTCGGGAGTGGCATCTTCGTTGGTATTCGGGGAAGAATCCGGTGTTGTTGCCATGTCGAGCAAACTTCTCGTCTCTGTAAATATCGCTGGTATGACAAAACCAAAATCCGATTTCACATGCTGTACGCTTTCTCTGTACCTTTTATCCTTTTTTCATTTCTTGTAGGTCGTATTTAGCTTTATTTAAAACGACGTAGTTTCACTCACTTTTAATTTATATAAAATAAATTTCATATCCGTAATTCTGCATATCTTCTTTTATATTGTTTCTTATATTTAGCTCTATTTTAATTTAAATTATATGCTTTTATGATAAAATTATTCTTCTAATTTGCATCATTATATGAAAAGTTTTTAATTTTTTTAAGACTGCTAGCTAATAATTTTTTTAATTTTTTTAATTTTAAATTTTTAATGCTCTTGTTTAAATTTCTAAACCTGTTTTTTTTTTTTTAAGTAAATAATTTTATATGAAATAAATAATTTAGAAAACAACAAATACACGTCACTGTTAAGATTCTATTTTTTTAAAAAAATATTAATTTATATAAATTAAAAAATAATAAATATAAATATTAAATTATGATAAAAATTAATATGATTGAATTATATAATATATTTTTAGGTATTATCTTCACCCAATTAAATAATTTAATAAAATTTAAATATAAAATATTAACTTTAAAGATATTAACAACATTCAACTTTAATTTTTATAGAGTAATCATCAATTCGAGATAACACTCATAATATTTATGTAAATCTTCATTTATATAACACACTTAAAGAATACAGAAGAAACTGATGAAAATGAATAAAACAATAAGAAGTCTAAATGAATTGTGTACCACATATATGTATTGCTAGGACCCAAGTAAGATCTGATGCATGCTCATTGATCAAACAGTGTCAAGTCAATAGTAATGTTCTGATGCATGCTCATTGATCAAACAGCGCCCAGTCAATAGTCTAAATGAATTGTATATGACACATGTATTGCAAGGACAAAAGTAGGATCTGATGCATGCTCCTTGATCAATAGTAATGTTCCTGATATGTTGCTCCAAACTCAGCTCTCCATGCCTGGTCATCATCTGGGATCGTGCTGTTATTTCTGATATCGGAATCCTCCCGATAGAGCGGTTTCAGTGCAGATTCTGGCAACCTGCTCTCAGCAAGGTATTGCTTCATGGTGACCATCTCCATCTTGTGTTTTCTCTTCACCTTCTCAATTTGCTTCTTCAACTTCTCGTTTTCTTCCCGAACCGTGCTGAAGTTTTCCTGTTAGAAAATATACCAACATTCAGAAGAGTTTATATAAAGCCCCATTAGACTGCAAAATTGATCTCAACCTAAACAAATCCAGAATTGATGAAAAGGGTAATTGTTAACAAGTCTGACTTACAATTCTTGTGTAAATAATAGATTAGACTACTTTTTTCCTAGTTCAACTTTTTTTAAAAAAAAGCCAACTTAACAAATTGAGTCATTTTCAATAAACTCAAGTTCCTGGTAAAATCGGTTAAATTACATTTTTTTACTGTTTGGTTTATATTTCTTCAAATTTTAGTTGATTTTTAATTTTTATATGCATGACTACAGATTTACAATATGATTCTTCTATGATCAGCCCAACAGTAATAAATTGAAGGGAAAGAAGGAATGTGAAGTGAAATATCACTTACCTCAGCAGCTGAGGCTGCCTGCTCGGCTTCTCTCAACCTAACAAGCAATTCTCCAGCAGCATGTACAGCTTCGGCAGTGTCCCTAAGCTGAATCTTGAGACTCTTGTTCTCCCTTTTCAAGAACTCTCTTTCTCTCTCCCTCTCCACTCTAAGTACAGAAAGTTCAGCAGCAAGAGATTTGGCAAAACGGGAGCCATGACCTTTTGCACCTGCCTTGATAGCTGCCCTTTTCACCTCCGCAATTCCTTCCATGATTGCTCGGTGCTTCCCAGCCAAGTCATTATATTTTTCCTGAAGCTCCGTGTAGTGTTCAACAAATCTAGCATGACCAAGGACAGCTCTGTGAAGTGCATCATCTAACTCTTCAGTGCACTTCTTCTCCAACTTCAATTCCATCTCCACCTTCTCTGCATGTCTTCGGTGAGTTTCAATGTCAATTCTTAGTTCATCAGTTAAACATATCCATTCACTTTCCATTTCTGTCCACCTTTGTCTTTCCTTCTCAAGCTCTTCTTCAGTGTTGTTACGGCAATCTATACTTTTTCGGAGTTGAATGGATTGTGACAACAAAGAGGACTTCAACTTGTCAGTGGACTTGTTTGGAGAACAAGCAACATTTGACTGCAACTTGCTTTTTAAAGTTTCAATTTCTTTAAGAAGCTCTTCTCTCTCATTTACATCAAAGTATGTGGTATTACGCGATTTCTGAACTTCGTTTATTTCGCATTTTTCCTTTATAACCTCAGGCTCATGTTCTCCTGCACTGTGCTCCAGAAGCTGCCCAAATCAACCAAAAAAAAATTCACCTGGATTAGAGAATTGTTGTTTAACAATCTAAAGAATGTTTTCTAAATGAACACAATAATTCACTTTGTTTCCATCTCTTGAAGTATGGTCCCTCAGATTTCTAGGCTCCTCGAATGGTACTATTTCATGTTCTCTCCCATCTTTGTATTCTTCCAACTAAAGAAATTCAGATCAAAATATAAGAGTATATTTATCACTTGAAGTTCAAGTATGTAGAATCTTCTAATTCTTGGGACAGTAAGATTATTACCAGTTGAGTTAGCTGCTCAATTTTGGCTGCTTGCTCTGTGCATATATTTTCAAGCTCCTTTCTGTTAATAGCTTCCACCAAATCACTCTCTGCTTCCTGATAAAGAAGAAAAAGGAAAATGAATATACCAGTAAACGTAAAATGAAGTTTGTGGATTCTAAGACATACTTTAGTCAAATTCCCTGCTTTATCAATTGGTACAATCCATGTCTTTAAGCTATCTTGTACCTCATTAGAATTGTCATTATTAAGCTTCTGTCGGCACGATGAACAAAGTAAAGAAGAAGATGATCCAGTTGATAGTCTCTTCTTGTAATGTTTGAATAGAAGAATTGGCTTTGTCAACTTCTGGACAAGGTTTGAGTGCCAAGTGCTCAAACGAAAAGGAAACAGAAGATGTGTCTGTTGCCAAGTTCCTCTGATGATGGTCAATTATCTGCAAACCTCTGTGAAGACTGGCAGCCAAAGATTCGGTAGCACCAGGAAATATCTTGCTTGAACGCAAAGAGGAACGGATGTGTTCACTTTGTCTGAATGACTGTTGTAGCGCATCCGAGTTGAAGCTTGAGCTCTCTGACACATTGTTCTGACTGGCCAAAGATGTTGGTAAAAAAGCCATGCTTTTCCTTTGCTTATTTCCAATTTTAGGAGACTCTGAAAAGGTTGGCTCTTGGAGGAGTGGAGACTGACGGCAAGTGCTGATTGAAATGCTATTTCTGAATGAATGATCAATGGCACTTGATATTTTTGAGTTATTTGATTCGTCTGCTGAACCAGTAATATCCTTGTGATGTTCTTGTTGCGGTTTCTCCAAACCAACTTCCTCAATTTCAGTGTCTTCCATGCAGACTTCATCTTCACTCATTAATTCAGCCTCACAGCAGCTTGCACTCACAAAAGAAGACTGGACTGAATCTCTGATGCCAGATGGATCTCTTAAATTCTCTTCACAAGAACTATGCAACTTATCAATCTCTTCACGAAGCTCCCGTACATCATCCTCATCAACATTTACCTCTTCCTTGTCATCCTTATCTATACATGGTAAGATTAAAGAGCGGTTAAGACTAACTCTCAATTGATTAAGGCTTTCCCGTACATTTCGCCCTCTGAAGTATCCATTGTTAGTCCTAATTGAATGCGCATCAGATTTTGCCCTTATAAGCTCCTCCTGTGATCAACATGATACACGCTTGATCATTAGGTTGATCATCAACATCACTACTAGGAGACATTATTTGTCTGTCTATCCAAACAACAAAGAGAAAATGACTTTTTGCTGAAGAAAGTGATACCTTGAGCTGACGAATCTGATCACTCAAGTCATTGACATCATCCTCTGAGATCTCATTTACTACTGGATCATTTTTTATCAATCTAACTTTTTGTCCAAATCTGAGAGTGCTGAGTGTTTCGCCAATATTTCTGCATTTATCATAAGATTAAGTTAGATGAAGGCATTAGGCTCAGTTCCCCTAGAATGAAGAAAAGTCCTTTCTTCTGATACCATGCATCAACTAATGAGATTGTGCATTGAGTTTATCTTCTGTATATTTCACAGACCAACTAGTTTGAAAGGCTTCAAATGGTAAAAAGAAGAAGAAAGGAGATAGAAAGAAATTACTTGTTCTCTGGGGAGATGGTACAGATAAGTGTGAGTTTTGCATTCCCACCAAGCGGTTCTCGCAGTAGATGTGTTAGACGGGAGTCTCTGTAGAGAGTATCTTTAGAATTTCCAGTGTAGAGTCCATTTGTGAGACGGGAGTCTCTGTAGAGAGTATCTTTAGAATTTCCAGTGTAGAGTCCATTTGTGAGAGCATGTACCAAGTGGCTACAACAAAGAAAAGAAACATGATTATCAGAAGAATGTTGTCAGGATTCCATCCATTTGCCCTGCAGACTGCCTCTTATTATTGTACACCGCCATATAGAGGAACAGGACCACTTATTTCTTTCAGGGAAAAATAAGTACAAAACTAACACGGGCTAAAAAAACCTTATTGATTATTTCAGTTCCTCTGGAAAATTATTAATGTGATTAAAATTTATTGGTTTCCAAGTGGGAACAATGCTTTGGGAATAGTAGGAAGAAGATTAAGGGGATTGGCAAATTCATAGAAGGGATTACATCCTTAGCACCATATGGAGGATATCATTTAGACCAATATCAGGGGAAAGTCATGGCATCATACCCAAGCTGTGATACGGACTTCTTCACATTTTTGCCTTCCTTTACACATTGTCTACCTGCTTCTTCAAGTTTATTCCTGTCTGGTCCTGCTAGATCAACGAGAGTGATCCTGCTTGTCCTTGAACTACTAAAGCATTTTGATGAGGTTTCCTGTGGCATGAATTGAAAATGGTCAATTGCATACAGATAGTAGAGCTTGGAAAAACAATAAATTCTAGTTAGTACTAAAGACTGATATGCATAGGCTGTCATATAACCACAGAACCAAAGTGGTATCACTAAAATCAGCAGATAAATTTTGTCGAGTATCATATGAATGGTTTACATACTAAGATTAATCTTCTTGATACATTAAATCAGATTTAACTATCGTAGGAGAATGTAAATGACAAGAAAAAGAAATTATCGAATTAGCTTCCTGTTTGTTACTGAAGAGAAATTGAACACTATGAATCACTGATACCTTGCACCAAGACTCAATGATGAAAGTAAATACAATATGGGAGCGCGAACTTTTTGAATTGAGGCTGGTTGCTCCAACTTTTCTGCTTGAAAGTCCCTGCAGTAAGTTATCAATTCAAGCATATGAGATGCATAATGATAAAAACAACGAGAGACACAGTACACGTATAGCAGAAAATGTAAATCAACAGGTCCACTTAGTATAAGAAGAATGCTGAAAATTCTGCTAAAAAATAACCAAGCTACACCAAAGAATCAAAACTTTTTGTTAGACAAAAGACATCTGTTTTACCGACTGCTTTCCTACCTTTATCAAAATTTGAGTCACATCCTCATAGCTAGTCACATATTCCTCGGTCAAGTTCTCAACATATAAACCATTCTTCGGATCATCCCTTATCTGTATGAATTTGGACAAACTAATTATCATCAAGAGCAGGGTTTACCAAAAAACAAATACCATCATGAGAACAGCACTGAACTCAAACACAGTACAGATACAATAAATCGAAAGTAAAAAGATAGAGACCTCAAGATTCCTCTGAGTTTGATCAAGTAAATCTCCAATTTGCTCATTATATATCTGAAATAAAATTATTTCGCAAAACACTTTATCATTGTGGAATACCATTGACAACTAACAAGCGCCATTCAACTACTCACGACTTTCAAAGAACAATTACCTCAAGAAAGGAACAACGGCACTGATAGTTTATCTGTTTCCCTTCAGAGTTATCTTGCTCCTGAAGATGAGGAGGTAAACCAAATATATGAACCGCATTCTAATACTTACAATTTTCATGCAAATTTGGATCAAACTAAGAAACAGAACATACTTGATGAATCTCGGAGAAAAGCATTTGGAAGATGCGAGGAACAATGCCCTGGAGGCTACCAGGTGAAGGATCCTCAACCATGGCACTTGGGGGGCCCCACATTGTATAGGTTTTTCCGCTTCCAGTCTGGTGATAATTCGACAGATTTTGTGTCAGAATTACAACATCAAACAAACTTTAATTGAAAATCAAGTTCTTAAACCTGATGAGAGCTTAGAAGTATAATGAGTTCATCAAATACCTGTCCATATGACAGTACTGCGGTGTTGTAACCAGCTAAAGAGTTTTTAACCAAAGGAACTCCAACTAACTGAAAGACATGTTCCTGGAAGCATATACAAACAAGTCGGGGCTCAAAATCTCCTTTAACAAGTATTTAATTTTGAAGAAAGCCGGGAAAATTAAATTTTCCACAAGCTTAGGCCAAGTAGAATTGGGGTTTCAAATTAAACCTCATTTTTATACAAAAAATGATATACTCGACAAGAAATATAGTAGTTTTTTAGAAGAAATTTTTATAACTCGCAAGACATGTTCGTTGTTATTTCCTAAACATTCTCGTTTTAAAAAACTGACATACATATCTATAAACACATAAATGTAGAAAATGAAAACAAAAGAATTACTTTCGTAAACCAAACAAAACTTAAGCTTTTTGTTGTCAATCATGTCCCAGCAATCAAAACACATCAATTCTTTCCTTCATTTTTATGATAATAAAGGAGAAGTGTAACCAACCTAAATTAATATCTATTTTCATTGGCCCAATTCATCGTAAGCTGAAGAGGAAAGAAACCAAGGAAAGGCAGAGATTAAAGTTTCAAACCTGATTGGAACATGAGTCAAGAACTGAATCAAAAGTAAACTTCCGATCGCCAACAGATAGTGTATCTGAAGAAACCTTCTTGACTGCCTGGTTCATCTCGTTTACAGGTTTAATTCTCACTACAACCTATTTTTTATGCATTATAATCAGATCACAAAATGCTGAAACCAACCTCTTTAAAAACAAAGCAGAAATGCCAATAGAAGCTATCTATATTCATCATCAATCTTTAACCATTATACTTACCTCCACTGCCGGATCTGAATGCTCGGTTACTTCACAGTGATTACCTGAGTCTGCTATCTCTTTCTGTAATTTTCCACGTTTTCATAACGAAAATTTAGGATTTGAAAAAAGAATAGCGTTAGTCATCAGCAATAACATTAAAGATACGTCAAAACGAGAATTGTATCAACAGCAAATGCTAAATCTTTTAATTCAACACTTACATACCAAATCCAAAACTAAAACAACTCTCAAAAACCTATACATGCCTCTAAGTTATAAAAACTTAACTGCGGGTATACTAATTGCCGGAACAAAATCTAAAATCTAAAGAAAAAGAAAGAGTCATTCGCTGGTACCTGGATAGATAGGTCCACAGGCGCTACTACTTCAGGTTGGGTTTTAGATGAAGCGATCTGTCTCTCGGTGGTCAACGATTTGGACTGCGAATATAGCTTCGTAAACTCATCACTGCCGTTGTTGACCTGGATGTTTGGATCAACTGGAGGAGTGTTTTCATTGTTGGATTTGGTCTTTTTAGGGCTCTTCGTAGACATGGATCTAGGAAGCAGATTGCGTATGGAAGAAGTGGATATGCTTCCGAGAAATCGAGAGTCCCTGATCTCTGTTATGGTTTTCATGGCTGTACAGAGAAATTCCCAAAGAGAAACTTTGTTTTTCTATAAATGGAGCGTGCAGTTCACAGAGAGAGAGAGAGAGAGATTCAAATGTTGGGGGAGAGAGGGAAGAATGGACGTTTTTGTTGTTGGGGAGCGAAGATGACCGTTAAGAAATTTGAATTAAATTTGGTGGCATTATTTTTTATTTTAAAAAAATAAGAATTTTTAAATTACCAAAGTGCCATCAGGCCGCTTTAATCTAGTAATGAAAATTATAAATAATATTTTAAGAATAAAAACATTTTATATTACTAAAAAATGTTGCTTAAAATAATATTCTAAATTATTTTTTAAAAAAATAAATTTTTCACTGTAAAAAATAAACATAAATTTTTTAAAAAATAACCAATATATATTATAAATATTTTTTTTACTTATATTATTTTATGCATGTAGCTAATTTTAATAATTTATCAAGGTAATAATTAAGTAAATTTATTAGATACAAAATAAAAACTTAACAATATGAATATAACATTTATTTTTTATTTTATTAAAATTGCTTTCTAAATATTTTTTATTTTTTATTTTTCAAATTGAATTATAATTAAAAAAATTAAGCATTTAAAATAAATAAAAATATTAAAAATTAAGTTGTAATAAATTATAAATTTAGAAACTAATTTTAATTAATCTATCATAGATTTAATTAGTTCATCTTCAATCGATAAAGTAAAAAGGTAATGGGTCTTAATAGCAACTTGATTGATGATCGATCACATGAGCATACGTGTGCACGGACCCACTTATCTGTACCTAAATCCACGATCGACGTTAAAAAGTAAATGAGTGATTAGTACTTGGAGAGAAAGCGGAGGGACAATTTGGTCAATCCACAAAACATTCAAATAAATAGCCGTTTTGGCCGGTGCACATGGGAAAGCCACATGCGCATCGCCTAACAGGCTAGTATGATTGCGTTAAACAAGGTAATGCTAGAGTGACAGGAGCACTGTGGTTTTCAGTACATAACAGGCCTAAGGAGTCATCAATGGGCTTAAGCCCGACTAAATGAGCCCATGAATCTTAATTTATTTAATACTAATTAAAATAAAATCGAATAAAATAACAAATCTTTATTTTAAAAATAAATAAATTCAGCAGTAGATTTAGAATGTTCTAATTAATATTAAAAATAATATATATTTTTTTTTTAAAAAAAATGATTAAATTATGTTGGAAACTGTGTGATCCATCTGGGTAATCTTGCTTTATGGGGCTCGAGTTCTTTACAAAGTCAAAAAATTTGCCTAAAAAATAACACCCAAAAAACAAATACTTAATTAGTGGTGAATGAGATGTCTTGACTAGTGTCATTATTGAAAATCAAATAGGTATATATATATATATTTTTATTTAGTTTTATAGTCAAGATTTGTTAACACAAAAATAAATACCAATTATAAACCCGATAATTATCTAAGTTTAAATTATTAAAAAAGATAATTTTTTTAATAAAATAAATATTATTAGTGAAGAATTTAAGCATAGTGTAAAGGGACAAGTGGGAGCCTCAAAAATTGACTCTCTTCACCCAAAAATAATAATAATAATATGGGTTTGAATGTTTCAACTTTGATACATTAAATGCCTGGTTTGGTGGTAGAGGGAATTAAAAAAATATGACAAGAAAACAAAAGAGAAGTAGAAAAATACAAAAGCATTAATATGCTCTTGTAGTATTAATCAATGGCGATGATCACTAAAAAATATTTAAATGATTTTTTTAATTTATATATATATATATATGTGTGTGTATATTTGTGTGTAGATGTTGGGTGAGTATCCAAAAAAAAATTATATAGAAAGTAAATTGGAGAGTAATAAATTTCTACTGAATTATTTGTAGTTCAATTCAATGGAAAGAAGGAAATAGAATTTTATAGCAATTAAATTAAATTAAATTATAATTTATGAAATGAATTAATAATTCTGAGTAATGAAAATTGTTTGACAAATTTTTATTCGTACAGTGATAGTGATAATTAAGTTATGAATTTTATTAAATTAAATATTATAATATAATTACTGTTAATTTATAATATATTATTAATAAAATAATGTATCTAAATAAATTTTGAATTTATAACTATACATTTTAAAAAGATAATTTTTAATTTATTTATGAATTAGAAAAAGTCTAGACTTTTCACCTTTTGCTTTCCTTCTGGGTCAATCATAATTCCAAAGAACGTGAAGCTCCATGGAGCTGGACAAAATCAAAACGGCTTCAACAAACAATACATCATTGGAGACTGTAAAAAAGCATATCTATACGTATATATATATATACCTTTAATTTTCTTTAACAAGTAAAATGGCCTTAAAACATGGGCAAAGGACAATCATAAAAGAAAAAAAAAAAAAAAAAAAAAGACACTGTAATTCAGATGAAGCTTTCAAGTGTTTCAGGATCCAATTCCATATTTACATGTCAACGTTAAAAGAGAAAGAGAAAGAGAAAGAGAAAGAAAAAGAGAAAAAGAAAGAGAAAGAGAAAGAGACTCTTTTTTTCCTTATTGTATGGCCCATGATGATCAAAGCAAAAGGAACCCTCTGCCTCTTTCACCTTTGAATTAGAGGGTATCTCAAAAGTCTAATTTCAAAGGAGTTATATATATATATAGTTTTAAGGGGTTATTGAACGTAGAAACTATATTATTAGGTAGATTTTTTGTGTCTTTAATTTTATATATATATATATAAATTAGGTGGTCGGATGAAATTAATGAAACTAAAAATTTGAGTTAACCCCTCAAAAAAAGGGTTGATTTTGAACTTAGGGAAAACATCTTTGAAATTAGAAGAAGAAGAAGAAGAAGAAGAAGAAGAAGAAAAAAAAAACAGAAATTGACCCACCCACCCCATAATTTTCCACCGATTTAGTTTCAACAATACAAAACCCTAAGACCCGTTAATGGGACCATTTCATTAATTTTGTAAAGATAGTGGTAGATTTTTCCCACTAAAGTGGGATTTCTCCCAACTAGTATTCCTATTCGTTAAAGTGGGATTTCTCTAGGGGTAATCTTGATTGATTGATTGATTCATATAGCATCTTCAAATTATGCTTATATATATATATATATATGTATATCCCTTTTCAAAAATATTACCCTTTTTCTTTTTTTTTTTTGTTCTTTCTCTTTTTTAAGCACCCCTTTTGTAAATATGTTTTTGAATTTTATCTGATACTATTTTATTTTTTAAATATAAAATAATAAATTCAAATCTATATGTTCTTTAAAAAAATTTCATGATATAAAAAGTGTTATATGTAAATTAATTAAATATACGATTTTATACCTTATCAACTAAATTATAAATAACTAATATACGTCTTAATTTTCGAAAGTTAGACCAAATGTTGCCGCTGATGTGAGTTTGTTTTCATTATATGTTGTCATATTATATGCTACCAAAAGGGCAAGCATGTAATTTACAAGATAAATTAGTAAATAAAAAAATATATATATATAATGATGTAATCAATATTATATAGTTTTTTAGTATTAAGATTTTTATAGATATTTGGGAATCATTTGAAAAATAATAAAAAGTATGATGACGAGATATTTTCCCTATATCTATATATATATATATATATGTACACATTTTACTTGTAGAAATAGCAAATCAAAGAATCTAACAGTAAAGATGAGTCATCTCCCAAGACATTGATGTTTTTGTGTCATATATCAATTGGGTGAGTTTTTTTTTTAAAGCTTTTGAAATTTAAAATTTGTTTTATTTATTCAGAAACTCTAAAAATCTACCTAAAAATTGACTCATTCTCTATTCACACCTGAAAAATAATTGCCCCCACTTTAATCCCAAAATCTGTTACACGTACACATATACATACACATCATATAGTCTTTCGGGATATGTATGTATGTATGTATTATAACTTTTCAGAACTAAATCACCCACTAACAGGAATCATCATTATCATTTCAATTTAATATATAAACATGAATGAATTTGTAATTTATAATTTATAATTTATAATTTATTATACTATATGATCATGTGAAGAACATAAAAATACTATATCGATTAAAAAATATTGGCAGTGGGTGCCAAATTGCTGATGTAGTAGCAGCCGCTTCACATGGTAGGCCAAAAGATATGGATGTATATTTTATAATATATGCGTACATAAATACATATATATATATATATATATTATATATAAGTGAATTTAACAGGGAGAATACTTGTGTGTTGTTAAAGAATGGGCAATGAGTTGAAGTTGTATATGAGGCTATGATGAATGTGGTTGGTGAAAATTCAAGTACAATTAATCTTTTATATATATATATATATATATATTGTTTCTGGAATGAATTGTAAATAAGAAAACAGGGAAAAGACTGGCTGATGAATGGACATATCAAATTATTGATTTGTCAAAATTACTACACATTACCAATTATTAATAATAAATTTATAATATTTAATTAATTAATATTTTATTAAAATTATAATAATAATCTCAATATTTTTAAATAAAAAAATATTTTATAATATTTATACTCTCTACGAACGAATAAATAATTTTTTTTAATTTATGTTTTTATTCTTTACGAATTTATCTCGTGATAATTATGTTATGAAATTTTAATAACACGATTTTGTTAAAATTTTATTTATTTATTTATTTTAACGAATAAAATTAACTAAATAATTATAAAAAAATCAATGGTTTAATTGCATTTTTGTTTTCAAATTAGATTAATCAGGGTAAATTGAAAAAAAAAAAAACTTTATATGTATTAAAATAAATTACTTTAAATTAGTATTTTTAGAAAACATATTTTTTTCCTCTAGTCCTATTGCTATATGATAAATGTGCTTGATAAAGACAGGTACATAAGATTCCATATCTTAAATTTAATATATTTGCATATATATATATATATATATATATTACAATGAACATCATTCTCATGATTAAACATTTTTTTTTTTGGATCCAAAACAATCTTCTTTAAAAAATAAAAAAGAAACAACTTAAAAATTTATTGGACTCACCCACATTTTAGATGCAAAGTCTCTCTCTCTCTCTCTCTCTATATATATATATATATATGTGTATGTGTGTATGTATGTATATATATATATATTATATGGGGTTAAAAAATAAAAGAAATGATTGTTTTGGGCATGCATAATTAATGTATGAAGCCACATTTTACATGAAAAAAATGGAAAAATACAGAAAGAGTAGTCACACTATAAGCAATGATGATTGTGTACTATTTGCACAATCACATGCTAATGTTTATAAAACCACTTCAAGGACTATATGTATACAAATGTGTTTCTTTTATCACAATCATTTGTGTCTCTTTAATAGTAAATAAATTTTCTTTAATTAACTAAACACAATTATTAATTTAATAATTATTGATGATGGGTTACCATAATTATGCATATAAAAAACAAAAGAACATTAGGTATCATTTATTTACAATAACCCAAAAAAAAAATATATATATATATATATATATATATAAAAATGCGGTTTAATCATGATTGATTAACTTTATATAATTTTTATGTTATAATTTTCATATAACACTTATATCTAGATAATAAGCATATGAGGTATTATTTCAATATTTAGCTATAAAAAATATAAATATTAAATATAAAAATTGATCGATTTCAAATATTAATAAATTTTGGATTTGGGTTTTGGAGACCCTAATTTTAAAAATAATTATAATTATTTTGGTTTGCCATAATCTATGTTATATATATGCTTAATTAAGGTCATATAAATAAATAAGAATATAGTTTATAAAAAAAATAAATAATAATATTAATTGTCCTTATTCCTCTCATAAAATTTTCACACCAACCAATTTCTTAAATTTATAATAATAATAATAATAATTACGACTATTATATAACGGTAAAAAAAATTATGAAAAAGTTTGTCTAATGAGATTCAATATTTGGCTGACACCAACTAGATTATACAGAGAGTCAACATGTTTGACCAAAAAAAAGACCTGCAACACACTTGTCCCCATCCATTTGTCTAACCCCTAAAACCCTGTAAAAAGTAAAGAACCGAGACAGGGGGAGGGGGGGGGGGGGGGAGGGAGGGCAGAGAGACCATGACAGACTCTTCCTCCATCTTCAACTTCCATGTCCCCACCTACAACCCGCACCCATCTCTCCCCTCATTGGTCCGGGCTCGCACACCAGGCGCGTGGGGCGGCGTGTATCTCTCATCTGCTTTTCTATCTCGCTCTAACTTTTTCTCTACTCCCCCATTTTTTAGCTCTCTTTCTCTCTCTGGAAAAATATCAAAAAAATCCAACGCAAATACCTACAAAAAGACAAGATTACTTCCCCAATACATACTATATTACACGCAATACGGATGTATGTATATCTTATATCCACACCTTCTCTCTCTCTTTCTTTGTACTAGTCTCTCAAAACCCGCACTCCAGAATTCTCGTTTTATCAACTAGATTTTGTTCTTTGTTTCTTTTCTGGGGGTAGTCTGCCTCTATTTCATACTATTCTTCTCTTCTTGTTTCGTGTACAAGCCGGTTTCTTAGAGGACGTAGAGGTATTCTAACTGGGTTGTTTTCAGATCTTGGATTAGAGCCACAAATTTCGTTAAAGGACAAAACAAAGAAGGATCGGGTTTTGCAGCTGAAAGAAAGGTAAAGGGGAAAAAAAGGGAATACCTATCTGGGTTTTGTTGCGAAATTCACTTGCTTTATTGGGTTTTTTTTTTTTTCTTTTTTTAAAGTTACTGTTCGTTGTTTGTGCCTTGTCTGGAGGAGCTTCAGAGGGCTTCCGTGGGGTAGTTGTTTTTACTATGTTTGGTTTTGTTTTGGATTGATGTCTCATGGTTACTGTGTTTTTATTTTCTTTTTATGGCTTTTCCCCCAGCTTCAGTCTCCCTTGGATTCCGGTTTGTTTCCTTTGTCGAAAAAAGTTGGGTGCTTTATTGAAATCTGTCCGTAACTGTTGATGGGCCTTGCTTATTATTAAGATTGATATCTGGGTTCGGAACTACCTCACAAGAAGAGAATTTTTTAGCTTCTGGGACTGGAAAATCTCCCTAATTTCAGTTTAAAGTTGCAGGCTTTAGGTTTGTGGATTTTGCCTCTTCATTCTTACAGTTTGCTTGAAAAGAGCAAAGAGGGAAATGATTTGTAGATTTTTGACTTTCCGGTGCTGAGAATTATGTGTTGAGCCCTAGTTAGGTTTCGGATTTGGGGCTGTGTCTCCTAGTTGCTGCTTTTTGTCTCTGAAGGGACTTCTTTTTGGGGATTTGTTGGTCTCTGGCTTTTAGAATTTTGTGTTTACTTCAGCTCAAGCAGGTATCATTTGTGTATTTGCTACTTGTTTTGCTGTTGGGCATTTTATATTTCTATCTGTTTCAACTAAGGTAACTTTGAAGTAAATAAGTATGAAAGTTCAAATTTGGATGCTGTTGCAGATTGTTACTTGCTAGGTTTTTATGGGTGAGTTAGGAACTTTAAATTATGGCGTGGGCTTTTGATTTGGGGAGTGAGCCCCTTTTTTTTTTTTAATCAGGTACTTGGTTCATAAAATCAAAATCATCCTCCATTTGGATAAATTTCTGAGCTTTTCGATATTGAGGTTATCTGGAGGACATAAAGAATCTACAATTTCTGATTTAGAGTTTTCGTTCGAAGTGACTTCATATTTCAAATGCATCTTTGTTGTGTGCTTTGGCAGGTCAATTATCTAAGTCTATCATGGATTCCCCACAATCAGTTGTCTCACCATTCAAGAACTGTGTGGTTTCCGAGCCTGAAAAGCTGAAATCTGATTTCTTGGTTCGAAGCTCCAGTGCCATGTCAAAAGGAATTGCAGTTGGAAGGAAGGAACCTGTGGCGGGTAACCCAGAGAACTCCATTGGTGTTCTTCAGGTTTACATACATCAAGCGAGGGACATACATAACATTTGCATATACCACAAGCAAGATGTTTATGCCAAGATTTGCCTTACAAGTGATCCTGAAAATGCAGTCTCCACCAAGATCATAAATGGCGGGGGAAGGAATCCCGTATTCAATGAAAATCTCCAGCTTAATGTTCGTACGGTGGAGTCCTCCCTCAAATGTGAGATATTTATGATGAGTCGGGTGAAGAATTATCTCGAAGACCAGTTGCTGGGGTTTGCTTTGGTGCCTTTGTCTGAAGTTGTTCTGAAGAATGGGAATTTAGAGAAAGAGTTCTCTCTTTCTTCTACCGATTTGTTCCATTCTCCAGCTGGTTTTGTTCTGCTGTCTCTCTCCTATATTGGAGCTTCCCCTGATGTAATGACCATTCCTTCAATGCCCAAAACGACAGATGAAACTGTGGAGGCTCCGGCCGAGTTACTTTCCAGCGAATTGGATAAAATTGAGTTTCCAGACCCCAAGATTGTGAATGAAAACCAGATGATGGTTTCTGAGTATTTTGGGATGTCATGTGCCACTATGGACTCTGAAAGTTATGAGAGCTTGGTCACATCTGATACTGAAAATCAGATTAGCTCAGAAATGGGTCTTCTTGTAATGGAAAACTTCTCTACTGCAACTGTTAATTCTATCCAAGCTCCAAAGCTTGATTCCCCTCCAAGCAGTGTGTCAACCAATGGAGTTTCTTCTCCTTCCATAGCTGTGAGCTCAGAATCCTCCGATGCTCCAGTTTCAAAAACTCCAAGTCAAGAGCATGTTTCAGCTCTCAAAGATAAGTCCATCGAGTCTGGGGAAGGTGAGAGTGATTCCTCAGGTGGCATGCCGCCTAGAGAAACATTCACAAAACCTCTTCTCACTGTAAACATTGAGCCAGAGCAAAAGGTAGTGCAGCAAGAGATCGTAGACATGTATATGAAAAGTATGCAACAGTTTACTGAGTCTTTGGCTAAGATGAAGCTTCCCTTGGACATCGATAGCCCTACCAAATCGGAGAATTCTAGTTCTGATCAGAAATTGCAGGCATCAAAGAATACTGGTTCCCGTGTGTTTTATGGGAGTAGGGCTTTTTTCTGATCTTCGATTTATCCACTGGCTTAAAGGAAGATACCCAGGTGACGTTAGATCTTAGAGTGAAGACTAATACCAGTAGTAAAGTGTAATAATGTATTATCTATCTAATGTGGTGTTTTCCTTTTGTATGTTGAGATATGCTTCAGTTGACGAGAAACCATGACTTGTACCTGCCACTAGCTTTGTTCTCTCGATTAAACTTTGCTGTTAGTATATATATATATATGAACTTTTCCTTTTCTAATTATGTCTTATCTTTTCTTCCTTTATTCTTTTGCTGTTCCCCTAATAATTGCACAAATCAAATTCAATATTACAATAGGCTAACAATATGCTTATCATGGAGATATTGGTCCCACACTCACATGGGGATTACTGGTTTGAGACATAAAAAGTCAGTAGAGGCCAAGGAATCCAAGATCGTGACTTTTGCAATTTGGAATAATTTGGTTTGATTACCATTCAATTGAACTTTATTTGTATCGTTGAGATCAAGCCTGTTGATAATGTATTCTCAAACTTAAAAATATGCTTATCATGGGTGTTCATTTCTTCAAAATCAGATTGGAATGATGATGGTGAAATACTAGTTTGCTTTCTAACTAAATATTGATTGACCTTAAAATCCAAAATGAGAAATATCTCTGGTACATGTATAAGATTAAAGGGGAACTTCAATTATTTCATTAGCTCTGGTAATCATGTGCCTTCTACAGATCCATGCTATGTACCCATCATCTCTGTATCTCACTCGCCACAGACCAAACTTCTCTGCAATATCTCTTCCAGTTGAGCACCTCCTATCCCGTAAAAAGTCTACCACCCATTGCTGTGCTGCTCGTAGGTCTTGTTGAATGTCCCTTGAGTTTTCTCTGGCTCGACTTCTGCCAATGGCTGCAGCCCCCATAACTCCTGCTGCTGCTGCCCCTGCCGCTCCAACTATAAGTGAAGAGTTTGCAAGATGGGCAACTTCCCTGCTCAAATCTGGTATCATTTCTCCCAACCCAACCGCTAAATGAGCTCCGATTTTAAGAGCAAACGTCAGTAGTTTCATGAATTTCTTCATGTATGGAGCTACTGACTTTACAGCAATATTATCAATGTGCATCACTTCGCAGCCCATCTGATCTTCAACAACATGCATTTCCCGTCTGAATTCACATAACATGTGAAGTCGAAGTGCAGTCATGCCAGAAATTACGTTGGTTACTAGTTTCCTTGTGTAGTTTTCCGTTCTGACAAAGTAGAACATGTTGGGTACTTTTCTTTCATCCATTTGAACATTGTAATTTACAAGGTAATTCACTTTGTGATGAAGTTGAATAAGCAGTCTGTGCTCATAGTATCTTAGCCCTTGGATCTCTTGCTTCAAATCTCTTATTTCCTGCTCAATGATCTTCAGTCTATGCAATACCACTTCCAACCCCCTGGCAATTCCTCCGAAAGTTGGCTCAACTTTGTCTATTTCATTACCTGTGGGTAAGACATGATCTGGTTCATCAGGTTCGTTTTGTGGGGAGATCTGCAGCTCCTGAGCTAGGCTATATAGGTCACGATATCTTCGTTGTAGTACTTCCCGGAAATCATCATCTGATAGAAGGTCTCGGGCTAAATCAAATCCAGCTTTCAGAATAGGCCTACCAGCATCTAAAACTGGTTCCCATGTGTGCTGATAATCATACATGCTATCTGCAGGAACAGAAAGCAGTGCTTCTTTTATTTGTTGCAAGAGCACATGCTGGGTTTTTCTGTATCTTGGCGGAGTCAAGTCTCGTACACATTCTGGTCGCATGATGTTCTCGGTCAAGGTTACACCATGGCAAAGGCTCTGGATTGCTGGAACTATGAGCTGATGAATGAACCTGAGGGTTTCAGTCAGGTTCTTAGTGGAGCAGGCAAGGACATCAATGTAGTAACCTAATTGCCCACCCAGCTCTACTCTGATGTAGATGCCATTGATATTTATCGAGATGAGATATTTCTCGAGATTATATGTTGCTCCATGTTGGTTCTTCAGTGCCATGATTCTGTTGTGAAGATGCACCTGTTTTTAAAGGAGAGATAGAACATTAATGAAATACGCTTTGTAATATGATGAACAAAAAGAAGTATGAGGGGAGGAGAATCAAGCAGTCTTGCCTGTAAACGAGGAAAGAAGCCCGGTGTGAGAAACATGTGACCTGAATCATCACATTCAAGATGCCGGCCAGCAAAGAGGCAGTCAGATGTGCTCAGTTGCCATCTCTGCTGTTTTCCTCTGCCTTCTTCAAGGATTGATGGTATCAATAGTAGAGAATTTGGGTCAGACGGGTCTTGCTCGTAGCATAGTTCTAGTTTCATCATCATTCTCACAGGTCACTGGCATCTAAATTCTCAAATACCTTTGAACTCATTCCCGGAATCTGACTATGTAAACTTCCTCTCAAAATATTCTCCAATTTTTTCCTGCTGATGAATCCATTCTTCTCCAAAGAACTTTGCTTCCTAACATCTAGTTTTATAAGTTGAGCAAGCACTTCACCACAAAACCACTCACAATCTAAGATTAGATATCCTAATTCATCAAAGTAGATCACCTCTCCTATATGGTGTAGACATGTAGCGACAGCTTGCCTTCTCATTTCAATTTTTTCTGTATTATCATGTCTTGATCGGATTCTTAAAGGTGGAACCTCGAGCTGGCATAGTTCACCAAACTCTTTCCATTTCATGGCTGGCTTGTTATAGTTTTTTGATCTCCAGTCAGATAAGATTTGTATCAGATCGTTGCAGAGCTGATAGACTCTGGGAACTCGTTGGAGTACAGTTTTGCTTGTCTTCCGAAGATGATGCATGAGTTTACTAACTGATGCAGATGATCTTGCATCGACTGTGAAGACTGTTGGATAGAAGTCGACAAACCCTTTGAACTTGTCTCTTAGTTTCTGAATGAAACTTACAGTAGTCTGCAAATTCTGTGATGATTGATTGATTTTATCGAAATGTGTGAGGACGACAGTGACATTAGGTAGCATGCATTGTTGAACTGCTCTTCTTGAGTTGGAAACTATGAACCTGAGCCAATATTGAAGGTCTTCTTCTATCTCTGCTGGTGTCTTTGGTTCTCTATTGTTTGGTTTCCTGAACAAACTGGATATGATGAGGAAGACTGATGCACTTCCATGTCCCGGGAACATGAGGTCATGGAGGGCGTAGAACTCATGTTGACCTGCAAGATTCCACATTGAGATCTTTGTGTTTTCATCCTTGAAAGATTTTATCTTCATCCCTACTGTCCTCACAGCTTGCTCAATTGGGTTCACAAGAGTTCTGACTTGCTCCATGTAGGGAAGTTTCGAAGAAGAAAAACTCTGCAATATAGAATTGCATAGTGTAGTCTTACCTGCAAAAGGAAATAGACAGAAATTTAAATGAGGTTTCAGAAATCAGTTTAAATAAATTCTTGGGAAAGCATTACCTGCATATTCTTGCCCACAGAAGAAAACTCTGCAGCTCTTAGGTCGGTAAGTGGCATATCCTTGAGCAAATCCACTTCAGGCTCGGTCTTCCCATTCTGGCCTAATCTTTGATAAATCCCATCTGCCTGCCCTGAAATCTGAAGTGGTGTTCTTGAAAGGTCAATGTCTTCAATCCAAGGATTCACCTGAAGAATCTCATTTATAGTCTGCAGCACTCTGTCTCCCCTTATCCCTCTGCAACCTTGTAAAGACAACCATCTCAAAGTGGCATTCTTATGTAAACTCTTGAAGATTCTGATAAAGTCATCTGGTCTCAAAGTCTGATCATCATATATCCCAAGTCTTGTCAAGCTTTCATTGGTCGTTAGCATCTGCAAGATGGCTGCAAGTCCATCTCTTCCTATTTTGGTTCTGCCTCCACCAAAGGTTACTGACCTAAGTGTAATGTTGGCTTGGAATTGCAGGGTAGAGAACCTGCTCAAAGGGCATAATAAATGCTCCACTCCTATGCCACCAAACCAGTTTCCATCCAGATACACGCTTTCCAAGCTCTTGTTCTTGAAAAGTCCAGCTGCAACATAGACTACTCCCTTGTCTTTCAGACATGTTTTCGACAACTTTACCTCTTTGAGGGACTGATTTTGTTCCAAAACCCAGCGAAATTCCTTTGCCCACTTGGATTTCAGCCTTACCCCAGTCATGTCAAGCGACTTTACAGTAGAATTCAACCCAAGAGAGCAAGCAACTCTGCAAGATCCAACAATGTCTAGTCTGTAAATCCTCAATGTGAAGTTTTCGGGTACAAACTCTACTATCTTGGAGGTTTTGTCTCCACTCTCTCCACTCCAAACATGAACTTCCATTACCCTATTTCTTCCTAAAACAGCAGATATGAGTGGTGTTGCTGTGATGGAGCTCGAGTCGAAAATTGTCAGCAACTTCAACATGGAGTTGGCTTCAATCATCTTCGAAAGCTCCTCGGCACCTTTGGACCCAATTGAATCCTCCCATATCTGCAACTCTTCCAAGCAATCATTCACTTTAAGAGCAGAAGCAAGAAATGTAGCTCCAACAGTCCCTATACTAGACTCCGAAAACAGAATCTCCTTGATCACATTGTTTCTCCTCAGAATCCCAGAAAGCTCTGATAAACATTCTGCAGTAAATCTGTTACGTCGAAACACAACTTGCTTGATATTGCAGTTGTTGTCCAGCAACAATCCAAGACTCTGCAGTAGTTCTGACTCCCATTCAACACAGTGCAACTCCAAGTTTCTGAGAGATGGCTGGGTGTCTTGTGCTGTTGCTAACTCAATGAGGATGTGGGCAAGGTGAGTACTGCTGTCTTTTTCAATGTTGATGTTCATGGAATTCTCAGTTTCTTGGTAACATCCTGAAATTGGCTGAGAAAGGTAGAAGGAAATGCTGTGAAGGTTCAGGCTTTCTGTTTTAATTGCTTGCAGAACCCATTGTAGATCTTTGAGGTTCTGGTTCTTTGCCATTTTCACACCAGATCAAGAAGCCTTTTTTTCCTTCACCAGATATCAGGAACAGCGATATCAGGAAAGTTCCATGACCATGATCACTATTACCCTTCAAAGGGTATCCTGAAATGAGCCTGCAAGTATAGCACAACAAAGGAGGTACCACACTATGCCTTTCATACCCGTCGGAGAAATATAAATTAATTATATATATATGGGGTCTTTTAAAGAATTTGGCCTCTCATTTCATCTACACATTCTATGCTGGTATTCTTAAGCTTCTTAAACCTTGATACACTCAATATATGATTCTATACTTGGGTTTAAAGGCATTCCCTTTCAAAGAAAGAAACTTTTTCTTGAAAATCATCACATTTTCTCTCTCTCTCTCTCTCTATCTCTACACTTTTTCTCTGTTCTCTCTCTTCCACTGGGATTGAAATAAATCATCACATTCAACTCACCAAATTAAGCAGTAGAAGAAAATTATTTTAACCGGGTATAAAGTTCATGACTTTTAAGATCAGGTGAAAAAAATGGAGCTTGTATGTGAAAACATGTAGGAGTGTGTATTAACCTTTTTTGACCTTTTGGGGTTGTGAATAAATTAAATGATGGGTCTGCAATTGCTTTTCCCCCCATTGAAAAGGATGATGGAATCCTATAAAGGCACAAGAAAAAGAAGCAACTTTAGTGTTGGACAGGTTACCCTCATTTTAAGTGGATCTTATTATTTTAAGGGTGTGTTTGGACATCAATTAAAAAATGTAAAAATTCCATAATGCTATTTTTACATTTTTAATTGATGTACAAACATGTCCTTATAAAAATAAAAATATATATTTTATTAATACAATTGTCATCAGTATTATCGAATTTATAATATTTTGTTTAATTAAATTAAAATTTTAATTTATTAGTGTGTAAAATTATAGTATGATCAAATTAAATTTTATTTTAATAAATTACCCAACATATGTAAACAAAAAATCATTGGGGAACCAAAAAAAAAAAAAAGGCCCTGCAAACGCGGCGTTTGGAGCTGGCCACGGTGGTGAATTATGGTCGTGTACAGCAACTGCAAAAAACGGTATAAATAGCCTCGGTTACCGTGCAATGGAGCCACATATCCGTTGATGGTGGTGATGGCATCAGCACCGTTGAAAATTAGGCTCTCTTTTCTAATACGTCCAGAGTGTGATGGGCCCTACCTTGTTAGAATTATATTTCCTTTATTTTTTTAATATTACATCCATATTTTTTATTTATCTATATGTATGTATGTATGTATGTATGTATATTTCACATGTTAGGTAATGGCATGTTTGGGAAATTCTATTATTGTCATTTCCATGAGAAAGTGTGTTCCAAAAAGTTGGTGCCAAACAGCTGTTTTTGGCTTCTGCTTCTCTGGTATTTATGTTCAAATAACTGTCAGCTCATTGTAGTTGAAGAAATTCATTGGTGAAATTTATTAAAAAATAAAAATTTCTAACCCATTATATAAGATTTTGAACCAAACATGCCCTAAATGTGATTGATTGACAAAGATGAGTCTGTCTTACTTAGTTCTACTTCTACAGCATATCAGCAGCAAGACCTGAACTTGATGAACACCCATCAAATATCATATGCACCTCTGTGCATGTCACATGTATCTGTCTCAGTCATGGATATATATATATTGAGGGAGAGAGAGGGGAGGGGGTGGGGGAGGGACCAAATAAATGGTATATAGAGTGACTTGGAAAACCAACAAGGCACATCCTGCTCCGTGAAGTTTGGATAAGAATCAACAAATTGACCACACAAGAACAGTTTTAAAACAAAGAGGAACTGAAAATTTTGGTATACCAAAATGCAATTCCATTAAAGACGGCTAAACATTGCCAACCAAGACCATCATGGCAACTCTTTATAGCATATAAGCCAAAAATTTAACCATGCCAGTAAAGACAACTAGAAAATTAAATCACAGATAGCCTCAAAACATGACCTTGAAATTTTTCCAAGGAGAGAAATTGCTCAAGAAATGTCTCAAGTCAGACAAGAAAATACAGAAGTAACAAGAAATGATCTAATGTCGACCATTGTGTTTATTCAGGTGCGTGCGAGGAGAAGCAAAATCAAAATTTCCAACTCACAATAGAAAAAGAATATGTAGTAAACTTGTTTGGATTCTCTTGTGATAAAACACGAACAAGAAGTATTTTGTAAATGAGTTTGCAGGGATATATAGATCAATATCCGACCAATGTTTTCACACTTGTAATTCAACCAGACAAATACAATCTTAAAAGAAAAACAAATTCAGATATTATAAGATGGAGGCAAGAAGCAGCAATTTTGCCAGGCATTACAACAGTTCAAATAAAATTTTAGATAATGAAAAAAATAATAAGAGACTAGGGTTTAATGTACTACTGCTTTTGTGCCACACTGGAGATGGGCAATATAGGAACCCGGAACAATACCGTAACCCGGACCAATCTTCCTGAGTATATATCCCGCAATCTGATTTTACACTTCACTCGAATGCCAATAAAGAAGACTAAGCTTTTTACTATCAGAAGAAACCCAAAAAATGAAAATGGAATGTCAAACCTTACACAAAACTCCTGTATCTGGTTTCTCTCTGAATGCGTATACTTGGAATCAAGAACCCTCGTTAGCACTATAAGACCAAACCCTTACAAACTGAAGTATAATAATCAGGAAATTGTATGAGAAATTCACAATTCTTCATCTCTGCAACCAGATTTTCTTCACCTACAATTTACTTTTCAACATCAAAGTAACAGATCTTCTACGCAGCAATTCCTGAAATTATTATTCATGAAAGAAACACAAAAAAGAAGATTATGTGTGAGTATTGTGGACAACACTTTTTAATCTAAAAATATTAGTAAAAGATTAAGGTGATTATCATTGATAACTCTTTCAAGTTTTAATCAGTAAAAGTTACGTAGTCAACACAAAGCACCACTGCATGCGCACTGGGAAAAATTTGTTTCACTACACCATAAAGATATTCATTTTTAGGATTGTTCATTTCATGTTCGAATAAAAACGAAAGGGAACCAATTCACAAATCAATGCACGCTAACAAATGTGCAGAGCATGAATAAAATTGTCCATAACTGGTATCAAAAGCATAATTTAAAGCAAGAGAGGTAACAAGAGAAGGTCATTTATAGTTGCATAAATTGCAATGGCATATGATAGATTCAGTGGGAGTATTCTTTAATGTCCTAGCTTCATGTAAAGTCTAAAATATATTAAGAGAAAAGAAATAGGAGTAGTGCATTACTAATTTAAGCATTATGAGAAAGTAGTCCAGTTAAATCGCACAGCAAAATTTGCATCATGATG